TCTGTCGTGGGAACGGCTGGCCTTGGTGACTCCAGCGCTCTGTGCTGGGCTGTGGTGTCCACAGAAGCCCGAGCCTGGCCCCCAGTCCGCGTCACTGCCAGACAGACCTGCTCATGTCATTCTCCGGCCCCTTGTTGCCTGAAGCGTCCAGCCACAAAGCTGAGAGTGGCATTCGAGGCCCCGTGCAGCCGCACAGCCTGACTGTCTAGCCTCAGATCCAAACCCTCCTGGTGCCCACCGCTCGGTCTGGGCAGCACTGGTGTGTATGCCCGGTGCTCCCCAGACATGCCAAGGGCAATCCAAATCCCTGTGACACAGCTCCTGTATCCACTACCCCTCCTCTATCAACTGGCCAAGCCCAGTGGTGCCGCCTCCCTGCCACAAAACCCTTGGTTTCCTGTTCCACTCACCTCGCACTTTGTTAATTCCTTTACTATTAAACCCATCACACGACCTGCTCATCCGCCTCCTCCCCAGTTAGCCGCGTGCTCCACAGAGCTCACCTGGCCCCAGCTCTCTGCCCAGTCCCCGTGGCAGGCAGGCGCTCCCACAGTGAGTCACACAGAGCGAGTGTCACTGGCCTCCGCTCTCTGCCAAATGGGGACAGGGCCTGACACCGCTTGGGTTTGGGGGCGCGGGCGTTGGTCACGGCGTCTGTCTGTCAAGGTGTTTAGCGTGGGGCTCCAGGCCCACACTTGCGGGTGGAGCATACGCACAGGCGGGCGCTTTTCTGGGACAGTCGCCATGGCCTGCCTTGGGTTTTAAAATGAGCCGTGATCTCTGCTGTGGGGAACCATGGCTTTTCCGCGGCTCAGCGGTCAGGTTCCTCTGGGTCTGATATGCAACCCGGGGGGCGGGGAATTCGTTGGATTCGGTCGAGCTGCAGATAACAGTACATCCCAAACAGCCGGGGCTGAAACAAGACAGAGTTCAGGGGGAGTGCTGTGGTCGGCGCCCTGTGGTCACCAAGGATAACCCCATGGGCCAGGCCCACCTCAGTGTAGAATGGGTGGCATCGCAGCCCTTGTTCCCAAGCTCGGCTCCTCCCTGCCCGGGGCACTGTGCGGAGGGGAGTTTGGTTCCTCCCTATTCAAGAGTCCAGCCCTGGCTGGTGTGGCTCAGTGGGTAGAGTGTTGGCCTGTGGACTGAAGGGTCCCGGGTTTGATTCTGGTCAAGGACACGTGCCCGGGTTGCGGGCTCAATCCCCAGTAGGGGTTGTGCAGGAGGCAGCCGAACAATGGGTCTCTCTCTCATCATTGATGTTTCTCTCTCTTCCTCTTCCTTCCTCTCTGAAATCAATACAAACATATATTTAAAAAAACACACAAAACTCTTTAATTCATTAAAAGAAAAAAAAATCCCCCCATGACAGCAGCCTCTCCAGAGACTTTCTGGCTTCCCAGCCTGAGGGCCGGGGAATTCTGTGCGTTCTCACTCCTGGGGCTGAGGGAAGGACACTTTCTTTCCACCACTTCCTGCTATAAACTGCTGCACGGGCTTTGGAGCGGAGTCTGCAGAGGGTGCACTGACGCAGGGAAAGGACTCGTGTGCAGTGAGCAGCGTCCTTCTGCAGAGGCGCACGAAACCCACTCTTCATTTGGCCGGAGGTGGTCCCAGACGTCCGTGTCATTTCCTCTCTTCGTTTGTGTGTGTGTGGGTTTTTTTCTTGTAAAAAGGCATCTATTTGGCTTTTAATACGAAATGACTCAGAGAAACACAGAAATAAAATATACAAGCCAATTATTCAAATAAATCCCCAAAAAGCACATTTCAGTCACCACATTCCC